ATATATATTTACAACATATTGTACCTCAATAGTCATAATTATTCTTATAATATTATTACTTAAATTAATGTTGTTGTGAGCTACTGTCATTACTGTCTGTCCTGCATCTCTCTCTGGCTCTGTCTCTCATTATGTATCATTTTGTCATTAAGAATTACTATGAATTTATTATGTTGACCTGTTCTGCACAAAAGTTACAGTTACATGTCACTACATTAGTCAGCCATAGAGCAAAATAATGATGATTCACAAGTGCACTGATGACCACAGTATAAACAGTGCACATGGTTTATTACAGAGAAGTCAGTATACGTAAGGATGAAAGACACCACAGACAAAGAACAAAATAAGACAAACTAAATATCTCAACACAAACAGTGATCGAAGTTCTTCTGAATAAAATACAGTATGATTATATAAAAATATATAGCATAGAATAATTAAACAGGACCAAGTAATCAGTGCCACATAAGGTTTGTGCAGAGATGCACACTGAAGATGTTCGAGGCAATCATGAACAACCCAGATCATCCACTCCACAACACCTTGATGGACCAAAAAAACTGTGGTGGAGGGCTCCTCTCTCTTCGATGCAGGACAGAGAGATACAGAAGATCCTATATACCAACAGCCATCAGGCTTTATAATTCTTTGACATATAATAGATGAGCTGACAGATAATTGAATTTCCCCTTGGGGATGAATAAAGTTATTCTTATTCTTCTTAATAGTGCTTGACAGTTTGATTTCACACAGCATTGTCTATCTGGGTACAGCCTTCATCTTACTGCACTTCACAGGGTCAGATCAGTTACTGGGATAATCTTAATCATTCCCATATTATACTGATACATAACATCATGTTTCAGATGAATTTGTACAAACACTTTTATGTGTTTATCATGAATATATCAAAGAAATCATTACTATTCTTCAACACTGTACATGATTACACAGTGTTAATGAATGTTTCATGAGAACTGTTAAGTTAAGAGCAATGAGTTGCAGAAGTCATTGTTTTGCAAGTCAACAGAAAGTTTCATCCAGTCAACACCCAGTCCTAAACAACGTACTATGCATTCTTTACAAAATATAGATAGATTATTTAAAGGAATATTTAACCCATACAATGAGCATTGGTATATCAATTAGTCATGGTGTGTTGTGTTGAATTTGTGAAGTAAAACTTTATGTTTCTCTGATGCCTCCACGGAAAATGGCGAACACATTGTTTTAATGGGATCACGTTTATCAACAGCAAAACTCTGTTTACAAACTTGCACAATAATCCAAGTCTCACTGATCCAGATATGATTAATATTTCCCAAACACATATTTTTTTTGCTGAAATGTTTTTAGCAAAAATGCATGTATTAGGGAAGTGCTGAGCATAGAACTGGATCAATGAAACTTGGATTATACTGCACGAGTTGTGTGAGTTTTTAAATTAATGTTTTGATAGAGTTTTGCTGTGGCAAAACCAAGCAGCAACCTCCGAGGCTGATAAATTAAGTTAATGCCGAAGTGTGAAAAACTGCAGCTGGCTCCAAACAGAGTTAATCCTCATAGACCATATTAAAATTCATAATTTAACAGTAGAAATAAATATGTTTACATTCTGGTACAAAAAGTGTTGGTCTCTATAGCCAATTTAAACATACATGACAACTATACAAGAGTAAATTTTTATGTAATTCACCCATTTACATTTTATTAAGGCTCAAATTTGCGCATTTTTAATGGAAGGGCCGCATGATTGACAGGCTGTCTGTGAGGCGTCGCTACAGTCTATGTGTCAGATCCACACCTCGCTCCTCCACAGCTCCACAGGCCAAGATGCCGAACTCAGGGCTTCAAAATGGGAGTCCACAGACCAATCGGTAATGTAATGGTAGCTACGTCCATTATTTATACAGTCAATGTGTTAAATGTGGTTCAATGAATAAATCAATGTTTGCTGTTTGCATGCATGCTTGAAATCTGTTTTCTTCACAAATTCAAGGCAACACCACATGGCTTAATGATTTACAAATGGCCTTTTTGTGGGGGAAGTATTCCTTTAAATAGCGTAACAAAGTATACTGAATTTACAGAAATAAACAAAAATCTCTATTTACAGTAATTCTTATATCTAAACTTTGTAACATTTCAAATCAATGGTATGTTACTCCCTTGACACAGTTTCAATCACCTGTCATTTACTGAATGTTTCTCATGTTGCAGTCTGAATTTGTCTGAGTCTGTCTGCTGGTTGAAAAAGTCATTAGCCAGTAGATTCAAAGTTTGGGATGCATGATATTGGATTTGTTTGCCAACATGCTGATATGTAATAACTCATTAAAACCAATAACCGATACTGACATTGATATATCCACTTTTTTCCCTCTCTTCTGCAGCGGAAGTCTCTTCTGCAGTGGAATTAACATCATTTTATGCATACTCTTATTGTGATGACCCACCAGCAGATGGAGATTTTATTATTATTTTATTCCTTACTTGAGTCTCACACAAGTCCATGTCATTCGGGAATTGGGAATTGACATAAACAGCGAGTGTGGTCAACATTCTAACAGCATTTCTGCTGACCCCTCACATGTTCTTAAAGGAATACTCGATGCCGCTCGACGATTTGGGAATTATGCCCTTTCTCTATCATTTTCATATTGATACAACATGATCGATATCTTTTTTGTGTCTGTACATCCAGTGGCTGGGTCTCAGCAGTTAGCATGGCGCTTATAGGGGTCAGTACGTCTTGCGCTGTGATCCGCGGAGGGATACACCAGTGAGCAGGCACAGGCACAGACGTAGCTTGTAAACAAAACTCAGCTGTTTATTTAGCCTAACGATATCTCTGGACTATAGTAGCTGCAATGGATGACTTTGAACGCGATTTTGAAGAGTTTCTTGTAGCCGACACAGACCCAGAGCCATACCTGTTTGAGCCGCCTACAAGTGCCATGCTAACCGCTGAGACCCAGCCACTGGATGTACAGACACAAAAAAGATATCCATCATGTTGTCTCAATATGAAAATGATAGAGAAAGGGCATAACTCCCAAATCGTTGGAGTATTCTTTTATGTGAAAATACACAGTGAAGACATAACATAATCCTAACACAGCAAAGCTGTTACCTGCAGCCTTCGCTTGCAAACGCTATTAACGTTAGGTCAGTCCAAGTAATTAGTGGAAACATGCTAACATGCTAACATTACACACAAATTAGTAGTAAAGTAAGACCTGTTCATAAATGTTCTGGTGTAGCTCTGAATTTCTTATAAACTGAGGACAACTGCCTGCTGTATATTTGTGTTCATGGTCACAGTCACAGATAATTTTACATGATGCTCCTTCATTTTCCGCCATGACATCAAAAGTACAACCAAGTCCTCATAGATACATCTCTGGTAAAACTGTTAGGTGTTGTGTTCAGCAATGCTCGCTGCATACTGCTTACTCGAAGAACACTGTAAACACGGCTCCTTCTTCTGTGGTTTAATCACTGTGGGCCGCTGCGGGCGAGCAGAATCACTTCCGCCTCGGGTTCCGTATTCTGGTTTGCTGACTTCCGCTGTGTGTCCGACCCGAGCGAGGCTACGCTAAATAGCCATATAGAGAAAGGCTTTTTTGTTGCTGTTGGGTTCAAATAAATATGCAGATCTTCAAGGGGGGTGATACGAACTAGGGGCAGTTTTATTAATGGTAAAAAGTTCAGCACAGCTGCTTTAAACATTAATTTGAAAAACGAGAGTCCTTTGTAGTCATTTTAGAAGAAGTTTGATAAATGGAACTATAGTGTGTTTACGCCCTGCGCAGAGGGATACACCAGTGATCAACAGCGTAGAACAGAGTAATGTGTGTGCAAAGCTGTATGAAAGCTTTGTTAAACATCATTTTAGTGTAACTTTATTATTATTTTTCGCTGTGAAAACATTGGACTGCTGATAAGTGCTCGGTCTTGTCGGAAAGCTGCGGTTCCGCTGTTTTACATGATATGAGTCCATAGAGAGTAGGTGTGAATTTGGATGCACTATGCGTCGTTCGGGCGCCCTCTATAGGGCACACGCATAACATCCGCAGCGCAGCTAGCTGAGATACGATATAAAAATATCTTTGCATGCGTGCCCTCGCCCACAGTATTTTAATCGATATGCGTAAAACCAAAGGTAAAACTAAATGTTGAAATAGCAGTAATACCACATTCATTCAAAAAATGATACAAGGGATGGAAAGGGGGAATGGCAGTTTTAAAAGGGGGATGATTTTGATCGTTTTTATTTCAAGGGGGATGCCATCCCCCCTCATCCCCCCTCAGCTCGAGTACTGCCCGCAGCTACACCACCAATCCTCCCCTGACCTCCGTCTCCCCTCGGCCCCTTGCTGTTCCGCTGCCTCGGAGGATTCAGCCTCTCTTCTCGCCCGCTCAGCATCCAACACTTGGAGTTCCTCATCGGTATACTCCGACTCAAACAGGTATGGCTCTGGATCTGTGTCCGCTACAAGAAACTCTTCAAAATTGCGTTCAAAGTCGTCCATTGCAGCTACTATAGTCTGGAGATATCGTTAGGCTAAATAAACAACTGAGTTTTGCTTACAGGCTACATTTGTGCCTGTGCCTGCTCACTGTAATTTTGCTCTGTATCCCTCCGCGGATCACAGTGCAGGATGTAAACACACTATAGTTCCGTGTATCAAACTTCTTCTAAAATGACTAAAAAGGACTCTCGTTTTTCGAATTAATGTCTAAACACGTTTATTTTAAATGCACGTGTAGAAATACCAGCTTCAGGGTTTCTGTAACGTTTATTTGTTCACTTTTACCGTAGGCTACTGACCCCCTATAGACTTCAATTGTATTCGCTAAGCTAAGCCACAATGTTAACCGCTGAGACCCAGGCACTGGACATGCAGACACAAAAAAAGATATCCATCATGTTGTCTCACTATGAAAATGATAGAGAAACGGCATAACTCCCAAATCGTCGGAGTATTCCTTTAAGGGAGATTATCAACTTCTGCCCTCCAACAAGCCATTCAGAGTTCCTCCATTTAAAAACAACAGGCTGAAAATTTCATTTATGAGGAATTACCTGAGACATGAAGCTGTAACTTTTCTGCAGATTGACATTAACTGTATTTCATATGACCAGAAGACAACAAGCTAATTTGAGGTCACAACATATCTATTGGATGATCATAAGAAAATAACATGTACAAAGACACTGGTATGACAATAGTAAAGAGAAGCTGACATGAACAAAATTTTTTCTTTCTGTATAGCATAGTGATTATGAGGTTGTTACTGTGACTGTCTTTTTCGTCTTTTAGTCATGAAACCAACATCTGATCACTCAATGTCCCTTATGTCCCAGATAAAATGCAGAGGAAAATGGTCCATTTCTTTGAGGAAGACCTCATCAAACCTCTCGTTGTGGGCCACAGTGAAGTGATTCTTCCAGTCTCCGATGGTGCCTTATATTCACAGCACATGAAAAGAGAAGGAACAGGTTGTATCATGAATCACTGGTGTGGATATTCAGTGCATTCCAGCAGTTTTCTGGAGTGAAGTACTTTATTTTCAAGTTGTTCCCTCTTACTACTTAATCCATCTTGTCTGCATCTGCTTGTGTCCAAAATGTTGGTCAGTAAAATGAGATAAATACATTCTGGTTCTATACAGTCTGTATGAATACTATACTGTATACACTGTGTAGTATAATTGAGTATACCTGCAATTTATGACAGCGCTAACACAACAATTATATGACTGTCCAAATATTTAGGGACTGCACTGTATGTATATCAATTTATATGATGGGGACAGAAATGCATGTAAGACACCACCAGATTTCTAACAAATTGCCCCCAACATAACAAGCCAATAAGTCCTGCAATATTGTTGAAAACTCAAAAGTATCGATTCTGGGGTTCAAGCCAGTGTGGACTGTTAAAAGTTGAAAACTGCTAAGGATCAAGACCTTTGGCCGTTTATAACTCCTGCATTAAAGAAAACGAACAAGTTGTTTGATGATCAGACAGAGGCACAGTTATTTCCATCCAAATCCATGCCGAGAGACGCCCTTCTTTGATAACATTGTCGCCCCATTTTGGACAATTGAATTAACATTTTAAATGCTTCAATATTTTAATATAATGAAGAAATATACATTTGATTAAAAATGAGATGAAATAGAAAATGTTGTGCATACAGTACAAAATTACTACAAGATATTGAATATCACTGTGGGCTTAACCATTAAATTCATCTGGACACCATTTGAAACGTGACATCTAGTATCAAAAGAATGTCTGTGTCCATTTTGGTTGCATTTGATTGAAGACTTGTTGAGATATAGATAGGCATATAACGATATATCGAATTTCACGGTGTTGCGATAAATAAATTCTCGATACCGTCGTGGGAATGCCACTTTAGTTACAGTGCCCTCCAAAAGTATTGGAACAGTGAGGCCAATTCCTTTATTTTTGTTGTAGTCTGAAAATATTTGAGTTTGACATCAAAAGATGAATATGGGACAAGAGATCAACATTTCAGCTTTTATTTCCAGGTATTTACATCTGGATCTGATACACAACTTAGAAGATAGCACCTTTTGTTTGAACCCACCCATTTTTCATGAGAGCAAAAGTATTGGGACATGTGACTGACAGGTGTGTTTTGTTGCCCAGGTGTCTCCCAATTACATTGATTATTCAAACAATAAATAGCACTGAATGTCTGAGCTCAGTTTCAGATTGGGTAC